AATCACCAACCTCAGATATCAATTCGAACGGCACGATATACCGGAGTTCATCTCCGACAAGGGGCTCAGTGTATCAGCGCTTGCACAACAAAGGGGTAATTCGCGCGCCAGTCCACATCACAGTCAATAGAATGGAAAGACGGAGTCGGCCGTGAAGCAGGCCAAGCGACTGTTATCAGAGGCTAGAGGTACTGGCGAAGACCCGTACCTCATGCCACTAGAGAATCGCAACACTCCTTCAACAGATATCAGTTTGAGCCAAGTGCAGCGCCTATACAGCCGAAGGATTAGAAATCCGACGGCGGCATCTGCCACAGTTTTGCTCCCAGTTTCGTCCGAGCATGAGAAACTACGGAATAATCTTAGAAGACGAATGATCACACAGAAACGGTACTACTACCGCGGTGCACGGGTACTAACTGAGATAAAAGTTGAGGAGAAAGTGTGGGTTCAACCATTACCCGATAGTCAAGAGCAGTGGAAGAAAGGTGTGGTGACTGCGAGGGTCGGTGCCAGGTCATACGAAATAAATGTTGGAGAGAAAACGTTCGGAAGAAATCGAGTGCATCTGACGAGATACCGGAGACAACAGTTTAGAATGGGAGTGAAGCGCCCTATGGCGTGGGACAAGACCACGGCCGCAGATACATTGAAGACGATCCGGAGTAGCAAGAGGTACGACATGCATAGAAATATGGAGGCGCAAGGACACGAAAAAAGGTAGGATGTGATGGGAGTGTCATATAAGAGTGAAGGGATGGACCAACTGAAGGAGCCAGACAGCCAATAGGAGACGGGCATAACGGATTCGATTACTGGCCTCGGATTGGCCGATATTAGTGTGGGTGATTCACCGTTTGCTGAACTGATTGAAAGGAGGAACCAGGGCGATTCAGATGGGTCGCTGGTCATGGACGTGAATGTGCAATTTTTACCGGGGAGTTTGGCTTGCCAAACATGCTGTAATTTTCGCCGATTTGACTTTGCTAAATAAACGCTTGTCTTTGAAGTATTGAGTTCTGCAACACTCGTGGCATCTCAACTCACGTATCGCATCCGGACTAAGGACCCGAACGTCTCACCACGTCCACGTCGACTTTCGCCGGAGAAATTAAGGTTAGTCATGACGGAGTTTGAGCACATGCTCGAAGTTGGGATATTCCCGCCTTCAGATAGTCACTGGTCCTCTCAACACCAGATGGTCCCAAATAAATGTAGAGACTAGCGTCCTTGCGGTGACTACCGGGCACTAAATAAACTTACGGTCCCTGACAAGTACCCCAACCAACACATGCAGGACCTTACCGCGCGCCTCACAGGTAAGACGGTATTCAGCAAGATCGACCTTGTTTGTGCCAATCACCAGACACCTGTAGAGGAAAAAAACATCCCTAAAACAGCCGTAATCAGTTCCTGCGGCTTGTTTGAATTTTAAGTATGCCTTTGAGACCGTACAACATCGCACGACGTCACTCGTGGCCTAGATTTAGCTTACCACTACCTCGAGGACATTCTTATTGCCAGTTCATCTGACAGGGCATCTAGCCAATCTTCGAGCACTTTCTAGCGGTTGTTATACGACATGGCGTTACCGTTAACCTAACTAAGTAAGAACTTGGCAAGTCCACGTTAGAATTCTGTGGCCAACTCGTCTCACAGTCTGCTAACGAGGTCTTTGCGGACAAGATAAAATACATTGAAGACTTCCTAGCTCCCACTTCATATAGGCACCGTCGATTTTCTGGTCTGGTCTGGTCGACAACTATCGACGCTTCAACCTCCGCTGCGCCCAACTCACGCAGCCCCTGACTGACCTCCTGAGAGGAAATGAGCGCAATTTCGCTTTTCCCGAAACAGCACACACGGATTACAAGGGTTGCAAAAAGGCTATCTCCAACATAGCTCACTTCGCCTATTCCGAACTGTTTGCGCTTGCTCTTACAACAGACGTTTCAGACGTTGCGGTAGGAGATATTTCCCAACAACCTGTCAATGGGTAATGGCAACCTCTCGGTTTCTTCCCCAAACGCTTGCAACCAGCGGAATCCCGATACAACACGTCCGGCAGAGAAATGATTGCCATCTACATAGTCCAACCCTATTTGCGACATGCATCAGAAGACCATGCATTAAAGCTCTACACTGAGCACAAACATAACGTTTTCGCATTTAACATCCTCAAACGAATATTTACCACAGGAAACTAGACATATAGACTTCGTAGCGCAATTCACTGCGGACGTACGTCATGTCTCAGGGGTCAACAAATCCGTCTCTGACGATCCCGCGTCAACCTCTCTCTTCACCGTTTGCATGCTGTCAATTTCGACGCCATGGCATCGGCTCATGACAAAGATCTAAAACAAACCATACAGTCAACTTTACTGTACCTGCAACCGGTTCCTCTCCTCTTCCACAGGTTGTCCTAGAACCTCCTGCCCATCTCGTTCCAACGCAGTCTTGGGCACGCATCAACAGCAGTAGATCAGCCAGTTGAACTGATCCGTCGCTGCCATACGAGGACCTATGGAACGAAAAACGAGGGAGAGAAGGGGGACTTACCTGAAAAGCGTAATGCCTTAAGCAAACATTCAGGGTCAAGGCACTACA